GGAGAACCATGCACAGAGACAGTAGGCTAGGATACTCTCTACTGTGAGCTGGAGAACCATGCACAGAGACAGTAGGCTAGGATACTCTCTACTGTGAGCTGGAGAACCATGCACAGAGACAGTAGGCTAGGATGCTCTCTACCGTGAAGCTGGAGAACCATACACAGAGACAGTAGACTAGGATGCTCTCTACCGTGAAGCTGGAGAACCATGCACAGAGACAGTAGACTAGGATGCTCTCTACCTTGAAGCTGGAGAACCATACACAGAGACAGTAGACTAGGATGCTCTCTACCTTGAAGCTGGAGAACCATACACAGAGACAGTAGACTAGGATCCTCTCTACCGTGAAGCTGGAGAACCATGCACAGAGACAGTAAACTAGGATGCTCTCTACTGTGCAGCTGGAGAACCATACACAGAGACAGTAAACTAGGATGCTCTCTACTGTGCAGCTGGAGAACCATGCACAGAGACAGTAGAAGGATACCAGCAGTTTCTCAGGGATATAACATCAGATTTGCCAGGTAGTAGAAATCAAATGATGTATATTTAATATACCTGCTATCACATAATTTGACGGGCATTTTGGAGAAGGTGAAGTGATCCTTCACACTGTGCAGCTTCTCGCTGCAGAAACAGGCATGGATCCTACTCCAGTGATATAACCTTTGGCCAGTTAGTCTGCTTACTGATCATTGTATATTTTTGTCGTGACAGTCATGTGATATTCCCTTGCAAACGTACATTTTGCAATCTTCAGAATAGCACTGGGTGGTTTACCGGGTCATCTGGTATAGCGGTTTTAATTTCTTGTACAGTATGAATTTTTCATATACTGCCATACTGTAGCATAGCTGAAAGAACAGACATTATGCTTCAGTTGGCAGCAAATTATATAATACTGTATGTACCAGAAGCGCTATGGATGGCTGTGCAGAGTGTATTGAGAGGAGGACCCCTGTTAACTTTGTGCACCCGTCTTAACTTTATAAGAACAACAATTCATTACAGCTTGCATTCTGTAACAGAGCCATGATGAAAATTACTGCAAAGAAATCAAATGATGCATAAACAGCATTAATGCACCTTTTTAATTATAGAACAGCATTTACTCACCTTTTTTTCATTGTTTACTCAATTGTCATTATGCAATTTAAAAAGTTTGAGTCAAAAATATACTTCACTGTTTGTAAATGTGTGGGTGATCAGCGCTGCTTCCTGACTAAGTGGCATTGCAGACTCCATAGGGTTAAAAATGGATGTGTAAATTACAGTCTGAACACAAAAAAATCAAACCTCTGTTCTAATATTAAGCATTAAATGAGGCGAATTCCCTGTGTTGGGTTTACATGCAACAACTCCCCAGCATAAATAATATAAGGTGATGCTTCTTCCAATCGCTCCACTGCCGCTGAGAGGCTGCCATTTTTGTTTAATTTTTCTGAAGCTCCAAGTCGGTCACGTGACCAGCTGCTAGCATTCTGATTGGAAGATCTCTAAAAGTTGCCGGTTGAGATCAAAATTGTCCAGATAGAAATTCATTGCCCATTCTCAATGGGCAAGTTTCCAAGCAGCATCGCTAAAATGTTTCCCTGTGTGTCATCATCTTCAGTGGCTGCTTAAGGAAAGGTGAATATAAAACTATATAATTACCTAATGTTAAACTAAGTAAGGGGAAATCAGATATTTGGCAGTCCTTGTCATTGTGAGTGAACACAATGGAAACCACTTGGCTTTTGCCTGTTGTGACAAATGCACGAAAGTGCTGACAGACACTGGGCACTTCTGGCACTTCAGGGTCACATGTGTTCAGTTTCGAAGGGCCAGACTACACTGACATTCACTGCAAGTGCAAGCAAATCAAAAGAGACAGCTGCACTATAAACTGGAACAACACACACAAATGTGTGAATTTTGTGTGTGCAGATCTAAGACCTGTTAATTTTTCTACATTTTCCATTGTGGGACTTATGTTCCGAGTTGAATACATAACAGTACACAATAACTCACAAATGGCGATTTACCCAGGACGCACTTCATGATACATCATCTGTCAAAAAGCAATTACAAATGTTGATCCTGACAAAATATGTCTATGACTAGCCTACTATTATGTGGAACCATGTAGCCCGTTTGTTTATGCTACAGGTTTGTTTTTATTTTTGACGTGAAAATAAGCATAGTGAAACGAAACATATTTTCCTTTGCGGTGGGAACAGGATAAAACTTATGAGATGCAGGCAGGAGTGGGACAAAATATTTTCCAAGATATTTAATTATTTTACATTTACATTAAACACAACAAAGCCATACAATAAATGACTCGTAAATGTCATGGAGGTCTACAGGCTAAGGATCCTAAGAGTGACTATAATGAGTTTCTTAAAATATTTTGATGTACACATTAATGATCTTTTCCATTGTGATCTTTTTATTTTTAAACTTTTGCATGTTTGTGCGCTGCTGCGTGTCCCTGTGTAATAAGCAGTGTTTGTTCACTGTTAGGTGCAAGTTACAATCTTGATAGTGCACCCTTTAAATAACTGTGAAATACTGTGCCATTGACTTCAGACCAGGTTTTTGTTGGTCATTAGCGCAATTGCTTCTCGCTGTCAGCAATGTGCCCGACTCCGCCTCTTAAGGCCGACACGCCCATTGGCCCTCAGATGGGCGCAGGTACATGACAACTGCACCGGGTTCATTTCTGTGAAATTTTACTGCAATCTAAGGACAAAAATAAAATCGTACAGAGTTACAGCAATTAAGCAGGAGTAACCAGAATGAGATCTAGGCATTCGGCCACATAGTAAAAGAGCTTAGAAAGGGTTAGAACTGCCCCCGCCCCCCTGCAATGTATTTTCTCCCAACCAGGCACATAGCCAAGTAGTAAAATTACAATTTTGAAACCCCCTCAAAATTTGCTCCCGCCCCCTTTTTGGCCATACCTACCAAGACTAGCCTTTCGGTAGGGTTCCTGGACCCCCCAGATTAATTTCTGTTTACGGGCCTGAGGGGTTCACCCAGACCCATCTCCAAGAGGCTAAACTGGTGTGTCTGACCAGCTGAGATCGTCCTTTGATAGAATATGGCTTTAAGCTGGAAGTTTTTGGTTGGCATAAGGCTGAAGGGCTCAGTGACGTCCGACCTCCATGTATAGTAATTATGTCGATCACAGGTTTTGCACTGATAACTTTACCTACCAGGTTTGCTATCTGGATGCTTTGTACGTGTTAAATAATACTAGCCTGTGATGGTGATGTGATCTGTGGTTTCAGTGGACTTGGGGTTTGTGTTGTAAGCAGATTGGAGGTGGATCCTGGAAGAGAAGCTTTTAAACATGGGCATAAAAATGCCTGTAAAGTAATACTACATTGAAATGGTGACCATCAAATTCCTCTCCCTTCCAGGGAGAACGGGGAAGTCCAGGTGACCGAGGAGCAGAGGTATGAGAACCATTTGTCAGCTAAAGGTAATTCTCCTAGAAGAGAAAGATGGCTGTGTGGGTTTGCCGAATGTGACTCGGCACCGCTGATGCTCATTCATAAAGGGAGCTGTGCCATGCAGCGGCAGAACGTCCCAACGTGCTAGAAGTGACTTCAAAAAACACTGTTCCTTTCCACTGCTGCTCTGGCAGTATGGGCTTCAGGCCTGGGGGAGCACAGGGCCGGGGAGGGAGGTACTTCCAATTATCACACCATCCACGAACAACCTGTAAGAGTTAAGGGCTATGATCCATAATCCTCTCACCATGTCTTGGAACGGGGCTTGAAAAGCAGACTGTTTTAGAGTCTGCATTACGATACGGCTGGTGTCCGTGCGACAGTTCTGTCTGGCCCACAATGTTCTTTAAATCATTATTAAATCCAGGCTGCCAAGCACACTATCTGCGTATTGAGGGGGACCTCTTCAGCTGCAGTGCCTTAGCCCACTGGCCCCTGGCAGTTTGAGCTTGAGAGCCCTGGTATACAGTGACATAGAGAGAAGCCAGCAGGGCCAAAGACCCACAGGAACGTCTGAGTAACTGTGAAGCTAATGCTGAGAGGCCTTCACTGCTAACAGTCACTGAGAGAACAAAGCCCCCCCCCAGCTGCCAGGACCGTGGGGGGGGGACGGGGGACTGGCAAACCATCAATGGAAAAACTCTTAAGCCATATTAAGGTAATTATTTCACCACTGTTGAAAAAAACAAAAATATAGTGCTTGGTAGAGGGGAATATTACTCCGATGTGATGTCACCACATGGGGGGGCTGAAACAGAGGCAGGAGTGTGGATTCATGGGTGGGGGGCTTTTCTCTGCTGGTCACATGTGTTCATCCTTCCCAGAACAGGTAACACCACGAGGGAAGCCCTAGAATAGGCTGTGCAGAGCCCAGAAAAAGAGTAAAAAAATGCTGGGCTATCTATACATACATACATATACACACACACACTCATATATACAGTATATATATTGTCTGGCATAATATATTGTTATATTATATAACAAATGAGATGGTGACATTACTAATTGTATTTTAAAAGGAATTCTAGACATTCTAAACATTCTAGTTTGACATGCGATGCCAAAAAAATAAGTCTAAGCAGACTGACTGCAGGAAGCTTATTTAAAAGGACCGTAAAACTTCTCAGGTTTGAGACATCGGGAATAGATCGGAAAACATGGTAATGGATTTTTTGTGTTTTTTTTCCCATTTTCTAGGAAGTTTTCCATGTGTAATCAGACACACAATTTATTGTGTCCTTCCAAGAGTGGTTGTCTTTAATTTTGTGAAATTGGAATCACGTTCGACAGCTTCTCCATTCAGCGCTATGGAAAAGGGGGCAGAGGCTCTGGATTTTTGGGGCAAATTAAACAAATGTAGCAAATCTGAAATTTATTTCATTTTCGAAAAAATGAAAAGAAAAAGCATCTTCATCCCACAGAGTCAAAGTCAAAAACTAGCCCTGGTCACATTTCCCTGCTGCAGCCCTCAGAGTTTTCACATCTTTTAAATAGGGCCCAAAAGGAGAAAAGGGAGAAAACGGGAGGAACGGCGAGCAGGTAAAGTCCCCAGCGCCGCCGCGCCGCGCTCATCGGACGCCGAGTCTCCACATACTGACACATTTGTTTCATATTTGCAGGGAATTACAGGCCACCCGGGGAAAAAAGGGGAGGTACGTTTATCGTAGTGTGAAGCAATGGCTTCAGATGTACCTTCAGAAGCATACATGATGCCAGTAAAAGTGTTAGCCACAAGTCCTGCTGTCATTTACAGCTATCATTCTATTTTTCTGTTTATGTGTGCCCACAACGTATGATAGAGATGATGGTAGTAAATTCAAAGTAATGTTTATGTTCAGCCCTGTAAATCACACACCTCGTGTTTACCCGTAGGCATATGAGAGTGCTAGCCTGGACATGTAGAAATGCGAAATCTAGCCTAAAGTGGACTTTTGCCAATATTAACTTTTAGTTTTTCCAATACTAAACTGGACCAGTGTGAATGCTAACCTGAGACTGTGCCAATACTAAACTGGACTTCTGTGAATGCTAACCTGAGACTTTGCCAATACTAAACTGGACTTCTGTGAATGCTAACCAGGGACTTTGCCAATACTAAACTGGACTTCTGTGAATGCTAACCTGAGACTGTGCCAATACTAAACTGGACTTCTGTGAATGCTAACCAGGGACTTTGCCAATACTAAACTGGACTTCTGTGAATGCTAACCAGGGACTGTGCCAATGCTCCTCAGGGTTGTATTAATTATAGATATTGTTGTGCACGTTAACACCTTTAGGATTCAATGATCGCTAGTGTTCTTTGCTGTGCTAACCCTACCTTCGCAAACTTGTTATATGTGGTTGCCTAAAACTAGAAAGGGTCACCAGGAGAACCAGGAATGAGGGGGCAAAATGGCCATCAAGGACAGCCGGGGCAGCGAGGACAGATGGGTCCCTCTGGCCCGCGGGGACTCAGCGGGTTACCAGGCCCAGCAGGGCCACCTGGACCGGAGGGCAGACCAGTGCGTCAAGTGATCGGTTTGGCTGACCGCACTTGTGTTCTTTAACATCTCAACAGCATCACTCAAAATTACGACTGGGAAGGAAAGACCTACCATTTAAAAAACCACATTAAATATTACATACAATAGATGGAGTCATTTTAACAATGTTGTGATTTGCTGTAACACAGGTTGTGTAATTGAACCACAGCAGTGATGTGTATCCAATTCAAAGGAAACATTCCCATTATTCATGAACAACATTAGAAGGCCAGCAACATAATATGGTAGAAGCATCACCCCAACACATGCTTTGTTCTTTCAGGGAAGGGAAATGTCTGAGCAACATATTCGGCAGATTTGCCAGGACATTCTCAGGTGTAAGTGTCTCTATCCTAACCCCGACTGTTTGGTTTCAAACACACGGGTGACCAATTCTTCGTGTAGTACGCTTAAAACCACACCCCCATTCGTGTTTCCTCATCCAGCTGAGATTCCAGCCCTCATACAGAACACTCAGCCAAGGGGCTGTGACCACTGTCACACGCGTTCAGGGAGCCCAGGCCCTCCAGGCCCAGCCGGACCACCGGGATCCAGGGGCTTTCCTGGGATACCAGGCTCCAACGGCATGCAGGGGAATCCCGGCCTGCCAGGGGATTCTGGAGTCCCTGGGCTAAAAGGTATCACCAGGTCCGCACAGCGTCATCGACGGATGCGGAGAAATAGAGTTGTAGGGTTAGCTCCATTTCTGGTGGCCTCTCTCAGGTCTTGGGAGGTCTATTGACCTGGTAGTCATTGAATTAGGGGTTATTTTCCTGAACTGCACTGCACTCCTGAACTCCATTGCTGATGGTGAGCCACATATGTTTTTTGCGTGCAGGAGATCCAGGTGAAAAAGGTGAGAAAGGAAGTCAAGGAAGAGCTATGTCAGGCGACGAGGGACCACCAGGACTCCCAGGTAAGGCATGGGAGCTGCCGTTTCTGAAAGACTCTAAAGATGCCAACCATACTGGGAACAATAAGCATGAAGATAAACAGGAGAATCGTCCAAAAAAATCAACCCACTGTGACAATCATTGGTCAAAATTCCTACAATTATACTGTCTGGTGAAAAATACCACATCCTAACTGAAATCCTGAAAGAGATCCAGCTACCAAAGCAGCACCAAACCCAAGGTAGCATAACAGAATAATAATGCCTGCTGGACCCTGCAAACCATCATTATTGTGTCTGTCATCATAATGACTTGCAGTCAGTGTCATGTGATTGTGAATAGTAACATGAAATCCAACCAACGAGCACAATGGAGCTTTCCTCCAATGCTACCTGGCTGTTTGATGCCTGCAGACTGTAGAGCAGGGCACTCCAATAATTCAAATCTACCAAAAGCACGAATCCAGAGGCTATTGCCCCCGATATCAATCAGTTATGCCGGTTTAAGATGATCAAATTTGGCGAGCGGTGGGGGGTGACCAAGACCGGTCACATCCACTTGGGGGACGCTGATGGCGATGTTCATCTCGGGCACCACATGGACCAGGACTGGCCCTCGGGCTGCTTATTGGGTAGCCCTGCTGTCGAGGGATTAGAAGCAGGTGACTGTATGAGTATTGGACGATGGTGCTAGGATGGCGGCTGTGATGTCAGAGGGTCGTCTACAATGGGAATAACTGCCTATTCCAGGCAGGATGAAGAATGGGGGCAAATGTGCTGCATGTTGTGTTGAGGTAAAGAGCAGCTGAAAATATAAATTACAATGTCTCATCACTGTCCAATGAGAAATATGTGATGTTAGTTAGCTTAGCTACCTAGCTATCAATGTTAAAACCAGCTATATAAAGGAATCTATATAAACAAGCACCATGAATTCAAATGTTAACATAAATACTAGTTTAATAGATAACATATTCTCATTGGTCAGTTAGATGTCAAATGCTATCAGTAGACAGAGGAGAATAGCCGTATTCTATCCATAGCAAAAACATTTGTTATTTTCCTGGGATAGTGGCGATGTATCGATCCCTATGCTGTGATCTGTTTGCTTTGCAAGGTCCGATGGGACCCCCAGGTGTGAGCAAGTTAGGCTATCCAGGCAAGCCCGGACCCCCAGGTCCGCAAGGGGACGAAGGCAAGCGGGGCAGTCCCGGGGATGCAGGGCAGCCGGGAGTGTGCCACCCCTCCCTCTGCTACGGCGTCATGATGCGCAGGGACCCGTTTAGGAAAGGACCCAATTATTAACGGTACCTGGCAGAAGCGACCTGGCATCTTTACAATGCAAGAAAATCAACCGGGAATAAAAGGAAGTCTTTCCAATCTCAGGAAGATCACTTTTTAATAGTATTGAGCTCCTTAATGGGGACACAGAAGTACCTCTGTCTGTTTGTTAAAGGAACATCAGAATACCTGGGAATCATTGAGCATGTCATCCCAACTCCCTGCCGACTCGGTATATATGGACCGAATCCTGAGATTGTGATGAGTGAGTCCATGCCGGATCACACAAACAGAATTCATGAATTAATTGCAAAAAAATTCATTAGCGACAGCCAGGTGCACTTCTTCTCCAAATGGGGCATGAGATCGACAAGCAGGCCAGCCTCCCGCCTGGGCCTGAGGTGACTTGGAGGCCAGGTGCTGTATCACAGCCTGCTGTGGACCTCAGCCTGACAAGAAGAGATGACAGAACATAACACAGAGATAACCTTCCTTATCCACAGCATTGTAATCCTTAAAGCCCAAGTGGCTCGTCCAGAAATGGCAGATCATTTCCAGGCTGCCCGTGGAATTCATCGCAAACTGTTCCTCTTTTTACGTGTTTCACCTTGGGCCACATTGGGCCACCTTGTCCTTGTAGCTTAGTAGCCACTCTTTGTAGCATTAGTATAATACTTGCTTAATATTACGAGAAATCACAGTCATCAATAATCATGAGCAAACTAATCATGTTGTCCTAAGAAAACAAAACAACACATAAGTCCTAAGTCCTACAGATTAATTGCTGGAGTTTAAATTCCTAGAGGGCTATATAACTTTTGGATCGAGCAAAACAGTCATTGGAAAGTTTATCCTTTATATACACATTCAACTTTCAGCGAGGAACCTGCTCTGTTTGCTTCTTTTATAAATCAAAATCATTGTAATTTGCTGTTTATTACAATGATCCACTCGTCACATAAATATGAATTTAATACTTGCAAGTGAACCTCAGATTATACTGAATGAACATAATAATAATCGTGACATTGTGGCCGTAGCCAACATTCCTCAGTGCTGGTGTGCAAAAATATAACTCTATCTATGCCTATATGTAGCTTAGGGTAGTTTCCAAAATGTCTCTTAAGATCGAGGTGTTTGCAGAGCATTTGCTTCAGTCCTCTCTACATGGGTATATTTATTTTTGAAATTAACTCCTCGGTGCAGCCTTGCCAGGTGAATTCCGCTTTGCTGGTTAATGTGAGCTTAAAACGCCGCTCCGGGGGAACGCCGTCACCCACTGCCTTACTGGTGTTATTTAAATTCGTGTCATTTTATGTCTACTAAGGACCTTTATTTGTGTGAAAGTCTTTTTTATTCATTAATTTTATTACTTTTTTTGTTGACGTGACTTTTGTATTACCATGTGGTATCATTAATAAATACTTTTTTAAAGACTGGTGTTTCATTCATACTTATACTGTATATATGGTCTCAAGTCAATAGGTTATAGAGTCAGGGATGGACATAACTGGTACGCAAGTAAGTAATCACCTTTAAAAGCGATACATGCGGAAATCGATTGTTGTAACAGCATGAATGCGTACATACATACAAGAAATTAATCTTAGCGATTACTTTACACGAGGGGCAAGATTCCCTCTACTGGCCATTGTGCAACAGTACACAAACTGAATTGAATTCAGTCACTGTGTATTGATGTAACAGCAAATAATGTACCGTCAAAAAGTCAGAGTTGGAAAAAATAGCCAGAAGACAAAGAATGTGAGGAAAGGAAAACTTATCTAGTTCTGAGAGAACGCAGAACAAGATAAGCATTTAAAAGGAAGCGCGTGTATTCGCGGGACTTACAGGCACAGGAATTCCTTATGTTATGTCACAGTAAATTACTTTGACTTGAAACTCTATTCTAGGCATTAAGCTCTATTAATGTGTGCGATATAAATTAAGCAGCAAAGCCCTTGTCAATGGGATTATCATGTACGCACGTGCTTGGTTCCCACTGGATGAAACCAGGCAGTGACTGACAGCACACGCTAACCCCACCCCACCCAAGTCCCAGTCTGTCCCACTGTGAACCGGTAATATAGCCAATGGGCAAATGCTATATATGCAATAGTGTATCATTTTTGTATCTAGTCCTACATTCAACCCTTGTCACATGTCATTGTTGAACAGTGGGGGCCCCCAGAAATTTTTCACAGGAGTGGCTAGATGGGACCCCTGAAAATCTTGGGGTGGCAACACCAACACCAAAACCAACACCAATATCAACATCAACACCAACATCAACACCAAAACCAACACCAATATCAACACCAACACCAAAACCAACACCAATATCAACACCAACACCAAAACCAACACCAATATCAACACCAACACCAAAACCACCGAATTCCTGGGATTCTATTATGCTGCTGTAGTTTATGCACTAGTTGTAAACTATGTCAATATGAAAGTTAAGGAATCGCATACTGATATATTTTGGTTTCTGATTTTACAGTTAATATTTCTTATTTGATATTTTTACATGAACTATTGTGAAAAATAGTATTGATTTAAAAGAATAGTATTTAATGTAAAATATCAGATAGCATATTATGGTGTATATGCATATGCGACTCGCCGGGGGCCAGTGATTGTATCAGGGTGGCTTTTTTTTTTTATAAGAATGCAAACATAAATGTGCTCGATGCACTTGTCTGCAATCTGAATGCATTTTTAATTATCATGTATTCTGTGCATCATAATGGCAAATGCCTAACCAGTTATGACAAATCAAAACGCAACATTGGAAGGGTCTCGCAAATGTGCTGATCCGTCTTTCATCAGGAAGGGAAACGGTTTCGACTTGCAGCATGGACTCCCAGAGTTCCCAGAGTTCCCAGTGATCCTGAGGCCCCAGGGCATTTCCACACATTACTACAATCATCCAGACTTGTCCTGTTAGAGCCTTGGTATTTCAAACGCCAATATCTCCCTAAGGAAGAGGTTTCCACGGCGCACGTTACTGATAATGCATTGTCTATCTGCCTTTCAGGCCCCCCAACCCCACCTTACAGACAACTCCTTCAAACAAAACATAACCCTGACCCCCCCATTCTGTTAAGCAGGGCAAAGCAAAGATTAACCTTAGAAAGTCTGTCCGTTCCTGCAATGGCCTCCTGCTGTTTACACTGACAGTGCTATAATGCTGTTTTTGTAATGACCCTGTGAAACAGGCAATAACAGAAGCACGATTCCAGGTTCCTGGTGAGCTGCAATGGGACACGCAGGGCAGACAGGCCCGTCCATTACAGAGGAGCCCAGGCTGATAATGATCCAGAGGCTCAGCGGCTGTCGGAAGGTGGCTCCTGGCTTCAGGCGAATCTGCTCCCCTCTACGAATAAGTGACTGGGTGGTCTCTTTCAGTCCCGGAATATTCATTAGCTTTCTGACCTCGCCTTGTAGGGGGAAGGCTTTCTAAACAAACAGCTGAACAGAGAAATGGCTCGTCCTGAAAAAATTAAGGTATTATGGAGATGGAACAGCATGGAATTGATCAAGGCAAAGACGCTGAACTGCTGTCAGTTACACCAGCGTTTCTCTAAATTGGGACAGGTTTAATATTGCTCGGGTGCCCCCTAGTGATTTAAAAAGGCCAAAGCAGCAATCATGAAGAATCCGCCTTGGACTTTACTCCGACTGACTTATCTACTGAATTATTGGCCTTCGCAAATAGCTTTCAATATACGGTACTTGGATCAATATGTTAAGTAAAGTGTTATTCAAGTGTTAAAAAAACTGGCTGCGTGTTTTATATATGTTCGATAAGTATTGCACGCAACTGTCACATAAATTCAAACAGTGATAAAAGGCGATAAAAACAAACATATAATGATGCGAAGCTGAATCAAGAAATTATTCATTAATTAAAAATTCAAGTCTTTCAATTATGCGTGCGTGCGTCTCATCTGTGACGAAAGTAATGAAGCCTATTGAACAGCAGATGGAGCTGTCTATTCACGCGCGTTTACTTTGGTGTCTCTATCCCGGACATTCTCAAGAGCAAACACTCTTCTGATATTTTGCCTTACTTTTTGTCCTTCTTGCTGGAATGAGTTAATTAACAATGTCTTTGCCTTGGGCGTCACTTCAATAAAGAAAGTCGCCACTTTGGTGACGTAATTAGTAGGCTACTCAGGAGAGGGTGTGGTGAAGCACTTTGAAGTGGTGATTATGAGTGCGCTTATTTTAAACGCTCAGCCGTATTAGCTGACATACTTGTAAATTACAACATTCTACATCAGAGTGAATTTAAAGTAATTTTACGTTTACTAATTACTCCTAAAATTGCGTTTTACCTGTAGTTATAACAAAGTCAGAATTTAAACAAAAAATTTCGTATCCTTTTAAAAGGTGATTTATTTCTTAATTAGTCTTACTTCATTAGGCCTATATGTGTGTCTGTGTGTGTGTGTCTGTAAACCAATGTATGCCAGTATAAGTTCAAATTTATATCTGACGAGACTAGTGTACTTTCAACCTTTAGTTGTGTTCTCGGGTTGACAAATGGCGCACAAAGAAATGTCGGGTTTGGTGACGATTAAAGCCTCTTCTTCTAAATAGTGATTTAACTGTGTCCAACTATGCTATGCCCCCAGGAAAGACAGGTGCTCCTAAGGTATTATTCACTGGGTGGAGCGAACCGAGAGGGCATTTCATGTTCCCATTCCCTTACTGCTTACCGCACTCACTGCGAGTTGGCCACAAATATGTATAAATACTGATAAGAAAATACAGGCGCATTCACTTCTTTTGCCTGCATGGGTTTGCTAACTTCACGCGTGATGGACACGAGTATGCAAAGATGTTTTAAATATCAGACGCCCATCTTTTTAAAAAAGTGTGATTTTATTTCACAAAATTAAAAAGGCGGTTGCAGATACGGCCACACATTTGAGTGTCAAATAGTAAAAATGTATTGATGTTAATAGTCTAATAAATATCATACAATATCACTGATAAAACAATGTCATATTGTCAAACAAAATCTAAACGATTTAAACCCGGGTATCCTGTGCCAGCCTTTCTTATAGTAATTAAATGACCTGCTAGTTTCTATGGTGGTTATGGATCGTTTCAAATTACAAGTATCTCTTCTTTCACATGCGCTGCGCCGCGTCCACCTCCCTGCGCGGCCGCTAGTGGTGGATGCGGCTCTCCTGTGTTGCGTGGGATGGACTTCTCAAAAGTCCTGCTTTCGACACATTCCCCTGGATTATACTTAAGCGCCTCCGCCAAGAATTAAGCTGCTGATACATCCAGATTTACAATATCGCACCCGAGCGATCCAGACGTTTCTGCACAGCTGGCTTGAAGGCGAAAGGCATCTGCGAGAAGGTACCTGCGTCCGAGAGTTTAAGCGGAGCTGCAAGGTGCGGGAGAAGCTTGTAGATTCTGCAACATTTGTGGCACTTCTTCTTGAAGGGCTTCAACTTTTGGCGGATTGCCGCTGTTGCTTTTAACCGTGGGAATCTGAGCATCGATAAGGCCGTTTTTGGACCCGCTCATATGATGCGTTGCTGAAAATTAACTTAACGCAAGACTGACCTACAGGGATAAAGCCTTCATCTGGGAGACAGAGTACCCCTCGATAATGTGACGCGCTGTAAGCGCTGACGTGAACTGCAGGAAGAACGCTGGAAAAGTGATTTGGTGCTCGGCATGGCACCTTAACACTCTCCGCACAGCTTGGTAGTTTAAAGTCTAAGATGAAGCCGTTAGCGCTTTTGTGTGGGGGCACCATGGGACTTCTGTGGAGCTGCCTGGGCTTCCTGCACTCCGTTCACTGTGGCTGGGGGGACAACCATGTGCATTCAAGTTTTATTTACAGGAGGTTGCGCAACCACGAACGGAGAGAGATCCAGAGAGAGATCCTGTCCATCCTGGGCTTACCGCACCGGCCGCGGCCGTTTTCTCCGGGCAAACAAGCATCATCGGCACCCCTCTTCATGCTTGACCTGTACAATGCCATGTCCACCGAAGACGACGACGGGATACTGGACGGCCCCGGAAAGGGCTCCCTGGAAAGGAGCCAGGGAAGTTCTCGCAGAGGTCACTATGGGTCCTCACATGGCTACTCCCGTGCACCTCAGCCGTACCGCGCAGCCCCCCTGACCAGCCAAAGTCCCCCCCTGGCCACTTCACATGATACCAATTTTCTCAACGACGCCGATATGGTTATGAGCTTTGTCAATCTAGGTACGTATTTGCTCTGGAGAAAAAAAGCAAACACTTTTCACAGTGATACGCTGCACTTTAGGCTTCTGCTACAAAGATAAATGATGAACAATATTAATAGCCTGCATTCATGTGTCGCGTTGTGTTTTGACAAATATGAAACCTCGACTGGGCTGATTAAATTAGGCTATATCGAGGAAAAACTAAATTGGCAATATAATCTGAAGTATCTGGAGTTTTTTCATTCATCATTGCGAGATGATAGTTCACGTTTTATAATTTATTCAGTTAAGTTTTACTTTTATAGCGCCTTTCTCAACATTACATCGTCTCACCACGCTTCGCGTTACCCCCACCCAAATTTATTTTATGTACAGTAAGTATGCTGGTCAGTCTCTGCGCGTTATTATTTTACATAGGCAGCCTCTCTGTCATTTTTACAATTATGTATGTGTAGAATTGGGTTGTTCTCCCGCACCTTGAATATTTTCATTAAAATAGCAGGGGGTGTGTCGCCTGGGGGTGTACCCAGGGCAACAACATTGTTCGGTCAATTATTTTGATTGAATGAATTAATTAAAATTCCGCACTCTCACAATTTGGACGAGGTAAAATGAAAAAAAAAAAATACAATACTTACTAAAATGTCGCGTTACAATTTAAACAACTATAAAATAATAATTTAAAAAACGATATTTACAATTATACACAGGCCTACGCCTAGTTTCGTATGCCAGTATAGCCGTATAGCCTACACGTTACACGTGCTGTTTTGTGTACCTGTTCTTGGAGGTGACCGGATCAAAAGCTGAAATTCGGCCAGTTTTCTGTAAAATATTCATTTCAGAAATGTATTTATTTTTGTTTTGATCTTGCAGCAATTGGTTGTTCTTAACAATATAACCTGAAAGCTAAGGAATGAAACTGAAGAATACGAAAACAGTATTCTACTGAGACATTTTTGCAGAAAATATAAAACGCTGTGTTAAATGAAGCCATAAGTAAATCCTACATTAATCTAGTTTTAGGTTTTTTGGTTAAACATAAATGGCAAATATGACGTGTTTCTTCTTCCCTCACAAAACTTTTCAAACGGCTTTTTAAGTGAGATTTTTATTTATCTTAATACAGTTATTTCAGTTATGTTAAAAACGTAAAGAAAATATAAATGTCGATTAATCCATTTATTTTTTACTTATTCTTAATGACAAAATCGCGTAAACTGAGATTTAAAATTAAAGATAATATGTTTCTGTGTTTTCAGAATCCGACTAAAACGTTACCGAACTGGCCGATATAGAAATGCATAAAAACTTTAGGAATTCCGAAATAAATTAAGGATTATAGTCACGCTATAAGCTACAGGCCTACTGTGCTGCAGTATGAAAGTCTTGGGACGGACGGGAATTTGGGGCAAGATAGTTATGATGATTAGTGCTATATTGCCCCGGTAGCTGAGACCTTTCACCAGGCTGTTCATACAAACTTATCAGATGACTGACTTGACCTAAGGATAATTGGCCTTAATTACTTCCTGTTGTTAAAGAGGGGAAAGGGGTTGAATAAGCTCTGTTTTTCTGAACTCGTTTTTCCCTACATTTATGGTAGCAAGTTTCTGTAGGGGATGTAGCCTAGAGTAACCGCTTCGCCGAGTTATTTTTCATACCACATTCATCTCTACATGCTACATTAATTGAGCACATGAATTACACGGCTAGTTAAGCTCCCTTACATACATTCCCTCGGATCATGTTACCACGCTCGGTGTTTTCAGGAGGACATGAAGCGGCAGGACTGAGCGCTGGCTGTTCTGTTGGACTGTAGCATCCAGTGGCCATTTAGTTAGACGACTATTTGTTCTTTTATACCAAAAGTACGTCAACCCTAAGGAAGACTTTTCCAGAAGAAGTCACCGGGGGATATGACATCAATAATGGATCCAAAATAGCTGCTAGCTGGTGTGCCATAACATCTCCAGAAGGTAGGGAGGGCTGAGTTAGGTGTGATAAAGATCAGAGCCCCCCTTCAAGGAGTCCCAGACGCTTCCAGTTAAGAGCAGTGAGCCATGAGTTTTGTCAGTCTGGGAAAGTCCGTGCGCTGATTTAGTGCACAGCTAGTGGTGCAGAGGTCAGGTAGTCCATATTCACGTCCACCCCCCCGCCGGTGCCGACCATCCCTCATGCTGTTTTTTGCTCCTTAAGAACATTTCTCCCAACTGCATCTCTGCGCAGTAAAACGCACAGACTGTTCGGAGAAGCGGACTGTTAATAAAGCATGTGGACAGTCTTTTTAAGGCCCTATCAGTTATGCTTTTTTGTAGCGAAATTAGCTTTTCTCATTTTTTTTTTCTAAACCCTTCTAGTTAATTCTGGCGCAGTCTACCTTAAAAATACCTCCTCCAGGGGCTCCCACGTTGTCTCATGTCATCATCTATGTGCAGAAAGTATGTTCAGACTCATAATGAGAAACATATTTGTCTGTTCCTGTGTTTAGTTTTCAGAGTTTTATGGGAATTATACATACAACCGCGTTTGACTTCAGCTGGGTGGAGTGTGCATGAATGATTTCAATAGCCGTGTGATTTATTTATATTTAAATGGTCCTTTTAGCTTTCATCGTTTATTATAACCTTTATTATCTGGCAGACTTAGAGCAAAACATTTAAATACTATTTTAAACGGCACTGTTGTAAATGTCAGATCTCTCTCAGGAAATCAAGCTTTGCTCGCGGAGTTTCTCTTTTTTCCCTTTTTGACGGTTTTACAGACGTTACGCTTTGAACTTTATGTTAACACAAGCATTTTTTACATTGAATTCATGGCTGTAAAATGATCTTCGTCAGATTTTGTCCCCTAATAGACGAGGCGACATTCCAAAAAGTAACTGGACTATAAGCAGATTATTTAGTCCCATATTTCTTAGTAACACCGACAACGAAATTGTCCCAACTTTAAAGAGCTGTTTTTACGCAGCTCTCTGGCTGGTCCGTTAATCGGCTGCAAACTGCCACCCAACACGTCTGATTCCCTTGCTCTCTGCATCCAATTACCACCTTCCCCAGGGCTCATGAAGGCCCCTCCAGCTAAACTACAGGCTGACCCCTGACCCACTGCTGTTAAGTAACCGCAGCTTTTGCACTGTGGATAAACAACAGGCGAAACGCAGCGTACCACCCTGAGTACCACAGTGCAAACACGCCGTCCCAGTCGCCGTTCTGCCTTCCATGCAGAATCCTGTCCAGCATTCCATTTGGATTTCAGAGTTTCAGTCCTCTTCTGCCCTCCGTCCTGCGTTCTGATGCATATTCCCCAGCTCACGTGTGTCGTCTGTTTGAAACGTGATAGTTACCTTTATAAGATTCCAAAGCTGCACATCACTGTGATGCCGCTCGATGTACATACATCATCAAAGGAAGGAGTTTATAATATTGCTGTAAATACTTCTTTATGTTAATACTGTGTTACTCTGAGGAAAAGATGCATCGTTGTAGAGAATATGTCGCACGAAGGCTCTGAGTGTGAAAAAGTCCCAAACCACTGCAGAGAAATGTGACCCGTGGTGCACTAGTGCCGCAGGGAGGACAGTGCTGCTGGAGAAAGGAAGTGCAAAGCAAGGTGTTCCCCCTAAGACGAGGTTAAAACGGTCATCCGGGTTTGCGTTAGAGATTTCAGCCTCTCGATTCCTCCTGTCAGTCTAGAGGGCCAGCAAAAGCGCTCCTGTTCGGAACGGGCCTGTTTTTCTTAACTGACAGGCCATCCATCATGGAGAATTCTGCAGGGAGCCGCGCTTGTCCTGATTTAATGGACTGGAGAACGTTTGAGCTTCTGGGCTAAATGTTTGGACTGGGATTGGAATGTTAAAGCTTTTGATCAATGTAGCATCTTTGAGTGCGTCTGCTGCAGTTTTTTTTTTGTTTTGTTTTAGGACAAGCCATCACCTCCCTTTTTGCCTTTGAAGCGCCTGCCCCCCCATTCTTCAGCGTTAACGTAAAGTGACAGGAATAGTGCACAGGTCACCCGTGTAACTCTGTTTCATTCCTGAATTCCTCTCTTTTCTAGTTGAGAGAGATAAAGATTTCTCACACCAGCGAAGGCACCACAAGGAGTTCCGCTTCGACCTGACCCAGATCCCGGATGGGGAGGCAGTGACAGCCGCCGAGTTTCGGATTTACAAAGACCGCAGCCATGCCCGCTACGAGAACGCCACCCTGAAGGTCAGCATTTACCAGGTCACCAAAGAGTACCCGAACAAGTAAGTAAGGCCGCCAGCCCGCAGTGAACACACGCAAGACTTGAAGCACTTGTCAGGACCATAACTTCAGTAGGCGAGTCGCTGCACGTTTAGGACAACAATAGGAGCCTTCTCAAGTGTTGGGGGGTGGGGGTGGGGGTGGGGGTGCCCCCCCATGTCCTCCCATTGGTAAGGCCTGTGATGGATATTCATTCAGGGGAGATCCCCGTCAGGGGTCCTAGCATTTGCCTTCTTGCAGAAAAATTTGTCACAAATTCTGGTCTTTGCTTCAGAGCTTTGTTGTCCTTCTCACAATCATGTCCCATCATGGGAATATATCGAATTCCACGTTTTGTCGGTTACGTCTTCCACCTGATTGGCGCTGTGGACCCGCCACAGCCGACGTAGAAAAAACACGCCCAAGGAGATATGAAACGTCGGCATGGCGGCGAGAGGAGAACCTGAGAAGATCATCCTTGGGGAGGACGTCTGAAAATGGGAGCAGCCATTGTTGAGATAATTGCAATTTATCACTCAATGGCTGTATGAGACCGGATTCCCCTCTTCCTTCTCGAAAAAAAAAGAAAAAAGCATGCTCTCTCATATTCTTTTCAACTTAGAAGCCTGGGCTTCTCGAATGTCTTTTCTTTATTGTTTAGTGAGGCATCCAGTACGTGGATGTGTATGGGGTTTGCCATAACTCAGAAAGCAACCCTACACCGCGGGCCATGATTCAGTCAGAACGCCACGCCGATTACCCTCAGCTCTGACAAATGAATTTAAGTGTGACTCTCTGCTAAATTACACTCCTCGATGGCGACTTTCAATGACGGCTCCGAGCGCTGAAAAGGCAGCCCTTGTTTAACACTCTGTAAAATGTTCAATTCAAGAAAAAACACAATTTGCGGCTTATGGGTGACTAGGATTTCCGTCTCCCCTCCATCTCAAAATGCACCTCCGGGACTGATGAGGTAAAGGCATTAGGGGTTTAGGGAGCTCGTCCTGGACAATTAACAGCAACACTAGACCGGTGTTACCTCACGGATATCTAAGGAGTCCGAAATAAAGGCTTCAGAAGCCTGGGCTTTGGCGCCGTGGTGAAAAGGAGCACAGATGAAGGCCCTTTGTAGTCCGAGTGAAACGTCATGACCTTGTTGTTGTTCTGCAGAGCCCAGAAATGCAGACGCTTCCCGCGGCAGGTGCTGAAAGCACCATCAGCCCCCCCCAAAGAGATGCACTTGGAGACGGCGCGGTCTTGCATGCGTAAGAAAGAAAATAACAGCATTTCCCTGAAGGAACAGGGATCTCGTAAGGATGATCAAAGCACCCAAACGACGACGAAAGGCACCAATAATTACAGCAATATTACAGTGCCGCAATGTAACTGCAGCTACATAAACAGACAACATTAGCAGCCAAGATACAAACAAGTGGAGACTTGTCTTAGGTCAGGGGGACCCAGTAACAAAGGGAGGAGACCTTCATGGGTCAGATCGCTGAACGTACGATGGAAAAAAATATTAGTTTATGGAAATTATGGTCTAGAGTTTCTGAGTAGAGCAGAATGTGAACTCTGTGAAATAGACCATTGTGGGTTTATTTAATATACTTTAAACAGACAATGATGATAATTACATATCAGTTTGGTTTATTATTATGCTATTTTTTACAGTATGAAATGATACAAAACCTGCTAGATTTTGGTTTGATAAAAGGTCACCAGCAGCTCAAAATCAAATCAGATCACTTTGTCACGTTGTTTAACACTAGGTGAAACCCAAGTGAGTGAAAAACTTTTGTGCAAAGTCCTACAGCAGCAGTGATGAAATAGTGCAGGTAAACGTCAAACGAGATGAGATAGTTGTGCGATTGGAAGGTCACAGGAAAAGTGAATATAATGAAGGGCCCCGGCAGCTGTGAGTGTGGCTGTGGATATAATGAAGGGCCCCGGCAGCTGTGAGTGTGGCTGTGGATATAATGAAGGGCCCCGGCAGCTGTGAGTGTGGCTGTGGATATAATGAAGGGCCCCGGCAGCACGGCTCCTCGCTCGTTGTTTCCTTCTCTTGGACTGCGTTCCAGATGCTGCCTCGGCGGCCTTGTCTTCTTTGCTAGCTGAGCTGCTTTGAGGGCCGTATCTGTGACATTGCAGCCTGGACTCCCTCATCGTCACTCCGCCTCGGATAAAGCCCGTCCATTAGCTAGCCGCCTGCCGCTTGACCGCGCACGACACTGTGAGAGTCCGTCACTTATCACTCCCGCTAATATCTGCCTGCTTCCACTCTTCCACTCTCTTCTCTGCCATTTTATGGCCTTGACAGGGGATTGGGGTAGACACGAGAACATCAACCCCCCCTGACAGTGCCCCCCAAACAGGCACGAAGCTCCAGCTCAGCACAAGGGGGCTACGCTTGACCTGAGCTCAAGTGGTGAGGTGTGCGTGTGGCTAACACGGACGGTCCCCCCCCCAGGGCTTTCAGCAGCTCCTGCAGTGGCTGCCTTAAATGCCCCGTCTGTGTGCGGCCTGCCTCTGCTTCTGGCCCTGCGGTGCACAGATACCCCATGAAGAAGCTTTCCTGATGTTCATCCTGATGGCACGTAGCCATACAGACCCTGGAAACAGTTTGAAAACACTAACGGTGACACAGCACCTTCAGAGGAGGCCTAAATGGATACCCCCCCCCGGATTCCCCGCACTTGTGAAAACAGATCATGGACAGCTATTATGCTGTCCCCTGTGAAAATGGTGCTTATTGTTTTTTTGACACTGAAAGAGGGAGGACAATAAACAGTACCAGCAAAATGGCGTTTTAAAACACATTTTTGGCATAAAATGGCAGCCAAGACCTTAGTAAGGGTGTACCTCATTTATGTAATGGGGGGGCTAGCAGATCTCATAGACCCTTGGGGAGACGCATTTTCCTGCCTGTGTGGCCATCAACCACACAGCAAGCAGAATAACAGCCCCCCCGCCTGCCATATGGTCAAATGTGCAGTGCTGCACCCCCGCATGCCATGTGGCCGAATCTGCAGTGCTGCACCCCCGCATGCCATGTGGCCAAATCTGTAGTGCTGCACCCCCGCATGCCATGTGGCCGAATCTGCAGTGCTGCACCCCCGCATGCCATGTGGCCAAATCTGCAGTGCTGCACCCCCGCATGCCATGTGGCCAAATGTGCAGTGCTTCTCTGCTCTCGGCTAATTTAGTCTGTTTTAAAAAATATCATTTTTTATTAATTAAGACAAGTTCGATAATAACAGCGGTTTTTGTGTTCTGTTTTATTTAAATAACTGAAAATTAGCTTTGTCATTGAAGATTAGTTCTACGTAATGCAAGCTATTTGTCATATTTAATAGTCTTCTGTGAAAAATCGTATAGTTTAATAACATTTGCGACCTGCCAGATGTGTTTATGTACTGTGGAGTACTCAAATGTGTCGGCTGAGCCTGGTTTTCGTTTCATTAACAGGGACGCAGAGACGTTCCTGCTGGACTCCAAAAAGGTCAGAGCTTCTGATGGAGGCTGGCTGGTCTTTGATATCACAGCAACCAGCAACCACTGGGTCCTTAACCCCCAGCAGAACATGGGCCTGCAGCTCGTCGTGGAAACCATGGATGGTAAGGAGAATATCAGGCTGATGTGCGGAAATGTTTTTCCAACCAGGAAAACTCACGACTTTATAGTTTTCGACTGAGATACTCCAGTACTGTGGAGTACTCGCTGAGGCCCCCTAGTGGGTCGTGGCCCACCCAGTTGAGAACCACTGGACTAGAACATTGGGCCTCATTCACCAACCGTTCTTACGAACAAATTTGTTCTTAAACCCCACGTACGCACTTTTTTACGAAGATTCTGACATTCACCAATGTTTTCTTATCTGAATTTGTTCTTAGCTAAGAACAGAATCTACGCACACTCAAGAGCATTCGTATGCATATTTGAGTAATGATAGTTTGTTCAAAATAATCGGTTATAGCAGTTTTGTTCATTCTACAGTTCATAAAATGAAAGTATTTGAATAATTTATAAAAGTAAAATAGAAAAAATAATTTTAAAGTGTAAAAATTATTTTCATGGTAGTAACGGCGATCGTGCGGATTATAAATAGGTCTGTCTGCGCATTGGCCTTGCTATCAAAATGGCATTTCTGTTACTTCTTGAAGAGCTTGCCAATCGTGCTCTGAGAAGGGAACGCATGTTTGAAGATCATTTAGATTTAAATGGCACGCAGCATTCAGAGAAGGTGATATCTCTCCATGTATCAGCTTTCTTTGGGGCTTTATATCCACTGGTCACGCTACTAAATAACGTGTCTATTTGCATTTACCTCCTGTACAGTAAGATCCAGTTATAACTTCAACTTCAAGGGACCTGGCAAAACAATCCATTATATCCAAAGTCCATTATATGCAGAGTTGCTGTATGGCCAGAACACAAATACGGGACACCATTTACTCATGCCACACCCCATTAAATTATTATAAATCATTATATTGTACATGTAGTAATCCAACTTTACCTCAGCAGATGCGTGACTATTAATAATCCCGACTACGTACGTATCTGCGCTGGATATCACCGGCTCGCCACACGCCTTGTAGGCGGAACTGCATGTCCGTTATAGCCGAACAGAACTACAGCTAAAAGTGACGCTGGCGACTAAATTGTTTGTCCGTTATAAGCGAAATTCCGTTAAATGCGAGTCCGCTATATCCAATATTTTTTCTGCATGTTCTTAAAGGCGCACGGCCGGGACCAGCGGACCTTGTCCATTAAAGATGAGATTCCGTTATAAGCGGGTCCACTATAACGGGATTTTACTGTATTAATACTTCTACTGTATTCATACTCTAAGTTTTTTTTCCTCTTAGTGCCAAGCAGCTCACAGCCCGTGCGCCTCTTCGCCATTCCTTGCACACGGCCCTACAGTCTCATGCCCTTTTATGGGACATTGCAGGGCGTTTCCCTATTTAATTAGGACAAACTGGTACGCGCTTTCAGTTACGAAGACGTGGGATTCACCATTCTTAAGAACAAAGATGTGAACAATTCTGCTACTTAAGAACACGTCATGAATCCATCGTAAGGTTGTTCTTAACAAATTTCGCAGGAACAAATTTAAGAGAATTCTTAAGAAAATATTGGTAAATGAGGCCCATTGTTTCCCAATCAGACAATCCACATTTTTGCTCCCTCCCAGCTCCTAATACAGCAAAAATGTGGACCTCCATTTTGTGGTCAGACCATAAGGGGGAGAACGTGCCACTCCCTGTTTGCAGTCCTTGATGCTAACGAAGCTGTAACTGCAGAAAGCATCAGTGCTTTGGCTGCATTTGTAAGCACAGAGGGTCAGGGGCTGTTTTATGGCAATCGCCTGTGTGCTTAAACTCCCCCAGGAGGCAGGAGCAAGCGAGCACAAGGGGGTCGCCTGCCTGTGGCCCATTCGGTATCCGTGGGTCACCGCCAGCAGCACGGCGATTGTGATGAAGCTCCTCCTTCCTGAGCGTGACTGTCTGCAGCAGAATGGTCCATTAAAGTCCCCTGTGTGTTTCAAGGATTCACTTCAAGGACTCAAAAGCTTTATTGTCAGTCGTACAAGTACAATGAAATCCTTGCTTGTGTACCTCCCTGCAGATTTAAACAGCGTATAACGAAGAACAGCACTGAACAGCAAATAGCAGAATAGTGAACAATAACATACATACAATATATCTACAATATATATAGCATACAATAACCTACAAGTAGGACAACAAGGTGCAGAGGTTAAATTGCCAGTCCCCTGTGTGTGTGGAGAAGAGGCATTGACAGGATAGTTCTCCAGTCCAAATCGGAGGAGCTGTTAGAGGTACCCATTAAGTGCGCTTGCCGTGCGGGACACGAGAGTTACGCGGACCGTAACCGGCGTTTGCAGTGTGCGTTTGTCAGCTTTGCATGCGTGCGTCAGTCAGTCCGCCTTTGCTTTCTTAGGAGAGTGAGTATGGTTAAGGTACACGCTGGCGCACATCTGGCCTTTATGTGGAACATACACATTTTCAGACAAGGTGGGAAATATCATATTCTATTTTCTTTAAATTAAGTGGCCTCTAGGGATAATTCTAAACTTGAATTCTAAACTTTTCATTATTGGCTTAATGCCCAGTATATTGTTTGGAAAAATACAGGAGCTTCTGAACCCAATACCTGTCTTAAATACTGTGTAGTTATTCGAAGCAAACTTGTGAGGGACTTGCAGTCTCTGGAGCCTCCCTTATAAGCCTATGATATTGTGGTATCTAGGGAATTTGTTTAGTATGGCACCACTACCCAGAATTCCAGGTCCGTATACTATAAAGGTACAATGTGCTTTCTCTGTGAAAAGATCACCAGAACTACATAAATAGACCCAACTGACCCAATATTTATTTCAAAATCTGTCTTCCTGTGAATTCTTTAATTCAGTGTTTTCTTGCAGCTCAAATAATGACTATAAATGCACATTGAGCATTGTGGTTGTTTCTCTGTTGAAACCCCATATTCCCCCACTCTTCCTTTGCTGTTCACTCCACCACATACTTCATTTTTCACTCTTTACTCAGGGAACCCAATACTTCTGGAGCAACAGACTTCTGGAAGTGGTTAATTTATGGTCATGGACCTCATCAGCATTCCTTGTCGCGGATTTAAACGTCTCTTTATCAGTGGACTGGGCGTGACAGCATTGCGTGCCGCGCGTTCCCCATTAAACTGGAGAGTTCCGGAATAATCCGGGCAGACCCAAAAGGTCACGGGTGAGATTTAGTGTAGTGTAGTAATATACTGAAACAGTTTTGCCTTTCCGACGGTAAACACACATGGTGATGAGATTAGCAGCGTGATTGATATCCATCCTGTAGGTTTGTCTCTATGGTGATTAGCCCGCAGTGTGAGATCTGTGTATCACAAATTGAGCTTTACGCTGCCAAATGAGAAGGATGGTAACATGGCGTTTGCGATGGTGCGGCTGCTTCTTCTGGGGCCCGTGGTGGAGGAAAAGTGAATCTTGTCCTGTGCTGGACGGATCAGTTGCCCACACCCAGATCTTGTTGTAATTAGGTCTTGTCTGCAAGGACATGTCATATAATCTCTTTGCATTAAACTATGCTCTTCTGGCAGGAGTAAGATTCTTTAATTTATTTTGATTTGACGTTGACAAGAATGCTTGTCCTCGTAACCCTGTAATAGATAAGCAGCCAGAAGATGGACAGAGGGATGGAAGAATGGCTGTATTGTAATGACTGCAGTTTAGCGTATAATAGCTGTCAAGGACAAAGCTGAAAGGGGACACCCGTTCGTCAGCGCTGCGCCGCTCTCTGCTAACGGTGTCTCTTTTCACACCCTGCAGGCCGGAGCATCAACAGCAAGTCGGCCGGCATGATCGGGAGGAGCGGCCCGCAGGCGAAGCAGCCCTTCCTAGTAGCGTTCTTCAAGGCCAGTGAAGTGCTGCTGCGCTCAGTGCGGGCGGCGGGGGGCAAGCGCAAGAACCAGAACCGAAACAAGTCCGCAGGCCAGCAGGGCACCTCGAGGGCGGTGAAAGGAGGAGGTGAGTCAGCCGAGAGAGGACGGACGAGTGTGCGGAGCGCGTACGCCTTGGGCGCGGCGTGCGGAGCGCGTACGCCTTGGGCGCGGCGTGCGGAGCGCGTACGCGTTAGGCGCGGCGTGTTAGGCGCGGAGCGCGTACGCCTTAGGCGCGGCGTGCGGAGCGCTCGATCTGAGCCGTTTATAAGGGCTGCTAACAAGCTTACTGTGCTTACGAAATGTTTTATTGTTAAGGTGCTGCGGGGAGGAATCAGCGGGGAGGAATTAATAAAAAAATTTATTTTTTAAAACAGACTAAATCAGCTTTACTGGTCTGAACAGGGGGTGAAAATCCCCAAACGCCGAATCTCCACATAGCTCTGCATCTGTAGTTATTACCAGTTTTGCTCGTCTTGGTTTCACTCTTCCGCAATACAGCAGAGCTCGCTGACGTGTTCTTCAGGCTAACAAGACTAGAACGAGCTAGCGTGCGGCCCTATTAGCTAGCAGATCATATTTTATGTGAATATTTATTAACTGAAGACTCCCGCAGCTCAACATGGTCAGGAGGCTTAAGTAGCTAGAGTTACAGCATAAATGTTATCCATCCATCCATCATCAAACCGCTTGTTCAGGCCTGGAGGCTGTCCCAAGCAGCACAGGGCAGGGGGACACGCTGGATGGGATGACAGTCTGTCATGGGACACACACACAGTCACACTCACACACTGCAGTCAGTCTAGCCACATGTCTTTGGACGGAGCGAGGAAAGCGATGGAAAAGGTCGGGACACAGAGGTGAGCATGCAGAGCGCACGCAGGGTAGGGGCGGGGTTCGAACCTCCATGTCACCAGGCGATACTCAGCCACTGCGCGTCCTGCAGAAACGTTATGTTATGCAGATGGAATCTAAACTGATACTATCCAAATAAATGAATTCAATCTATTTACTTTCCCAGTAACGTACAGATTGAGCTCAAAATGTTACATTTATTTTTCGTTCATGTTTTCCAAGTGTCCCAAACTACCAGAGCAATGAACAAAAGGTTAATGCAGAATAAACATTATCTGTACTACAGTTACACTATCACACTAAATATAAATGTTAAGGTTTACACAATGATGCAGCAGCACACAGCTTCTGTGCTATAGGCTATGAGTCTCTGAAGGTGTAGCATAGGCCATGAGTATCTCTCATCAAACGTCTCTGAGCATGTGCCA